GATTTGGGTTTATCTAGTTGTAAGGATTTGCATTCTAAAGCATGTGAGATTTGTGTTCGTGCTAAACAGACACGTTGGTCGTTTCCAACAAGTTTAAATAAAACTAAGGCTTCGTTTGATTTGATACACTGCGATGTATGGGGACCATATCGCACACCATCTCACAGCGGTGCACGCTACTTTCTCACTCTGGTTGATGACTACACGAGAAGTGTCTGGATATATTTGTTGTCAACAAAAAATGAAGTCTCACAAACACTTCGAAACTTCATATCTCTCGTAGAAAGACAGTTTGGGAAAACCATTAAAACTATACGCAGCGACAATGGAACAGAGTTTGTCTGCATGTCTATTTTCTTTAATGAAAAGGGAATACTTCATGAAACCTCATGTGTTGGTACACCGCAGCAAAACGGAAGAGTGGAACGAAAGCACAGGCATCTCCTAAACATTTCTCGTGCACTGAGGTTCCAGGGATTTCTTCCTATAGAGTTCTTGGGGGAGTGTGTTCTTACTGCTGCGTATTTGATTAATCGCACCCCAACACCTTTGCTAAATGGAAAAACCCCATTTGAAATGCTTCACGAACGGCCTCCGCCTCTGCAACATTTGCGAGTATTTGGTAGTTTGTGCTTTGCGCATAATCAGTCTCATAAAGGAGACAAGTTTGACTCTCGAAGCATACGTTACGTCTTTCTTGGCTATCCCAACGGAAAGAAAGGCTGGCGCGTATATAATCTCGAGACCAAAAGGATTTTTTTCTCAAGAGATGTTGTCTTCTTCGAAACTGAGTTTCCGTTCGAGAAACAAACAACAATAACGACTCCGATTGCTCCTTTGCTTGAGCATCGTGAGAATGAAAACCTTGTGGCCTTGGATGATGATTTTGCTGAAAAGACTCCTTCATTACCCGCTGTAGAAGGAGATCCTATTGTTGAAACAAGCACGGCTATACCATCTGCAGATATACGTTTAGATGAGCAGCCGCAAGAAGATATTCACCATGATAAATCAAATGGTGATCTAGATAGTCACGATTCAGAAGAATTAAACGAGACTTCTTCAACTGAATTGATGACAGAAACAGTGCCTGCAACCTCCTCTTCTGCAATCCCAGATAACCCTGCAACAGAACAAACTGCTCCAGAAGTTATTTTGGGTCGTGGTCATAGAAACAAACAACTACCTCTGAAACTGCAAGACTATGTTTTGAACACAGTTATTCCTGATGTTGCTGCCTCGTCCTCTGCTCTATACTCAATCTTAGACTACGTAGATTGTTCAGTGTTCTCCGTTAATCACTGTCAGTTTTTGGCGTCTATCACAATTGCGTGTGAGCCGACTTCGTTCCAAAAGGCAATGGAAGATGCAAACTGGAGACTTGCGGTCAGACATGAAATCGATGCACTAGAAGACAGTGATACTTGGGAGATTGTTACATTGCCAAAGGGAAAGAAAGCCTTGGCATGTAAATGGGTTTTCCGGCTGAAGTTTAGAGCAGATGGTACGTTGGAACGCCATAAGGTACGTCTGGTCGTTTGCGGAAATAAACAGGTAGAAGGAGATGATTATGATGAGACTTTTGCTCCAGTTGCAAAAATGACTACGGTTCGATGTTTCTTGCAACTTGCAGCATCACTTAATTGGGAAGTGCATCAGATGGATGTGCACAACGCATTTCTTCATGGAGATTTAAAAGAAGAAGTGTATATGCGTTTGCCACCTGGTTTTCGAGGAACAGAAAAAGATCAGGTTTGTCGACTGCGGAAATCTCTGTACGGTTTGAAGCAGGCACTGAGGTGCTGGTTCGCGAAATTGACATCAGCTTTAATGGACTATGGGTTTGAGCAGAGTCGGTCAGACTATTCACTTTTTACGCTTGAGAATGGAACTACTCGACTACATGTTCTAGTATATGTTGATGACTTGATCATCTCAGGGAGTACAGTTTCCGTCATCAACACTTTCAAATCCTATCTCAGTCAGTGTTTCCATATGAAGGATCTCGGAATCTCTAAATACTTTCTGGGAATTGAACTCGCAAGAAGTCCCACCGGTATCTACCTGTGTCAACGCAAATATGTTCTGGATATACTCAAGGAAACTGGTCTTCTTGCTGCAAAACCAGTCGATTTCCCTTTGGAGCAGAATCATAAATTAGCGCTTGACAAAAGTGAGCACCTCGACAATGCCGCTCCGTGTAGGAGGCTAGTGGGAAAATTAATTTATCTCTGCAACACGAGGCCAGACTTGTCATATTCAATACATGTTTTGTCTCAGTTTATGCACAAACCGCGTGTGTCTCACTGGAATGCAGCTCTTCGTGTGGTGAAATATCTCAAAGGTACTCCTGGTCAAGGTGTGTTACTGAGAGCTGATAATGATCTGTCCTTAACGGCCTGGTGTGACGCTGACTGGGCAGCGTGCCCTCTCACAAGGCGATCCTTACCTGGTTGGTTTATTCAGTTTGCTGGATCTCCTATCTCCTGGAAAACGAAGAAACAAAAGACAGTTTCTCTATCTTCCGCTGAATCAGAATATCGCGCTATGGCGTTTACGCTTAAGGAGATTCTGTGGTTACGAGGTCTCTTGAAGTCTCTTGGGGTAAAATTCAAGAGTCCTATCTCTTTGTATTGTGACAATAAGGCTGCGATTCACATAAGTACTAATCCGGTCTTCCATGAAAGAACAAAGCACGTGGAAACAGATTGCCATTTTGTGAGAGATGAAATAGTGAAGGGCACGATAGCTACTCGTTATGTCTCCACTAAGAAGCAGTTGGCAGATATCTTTACTAAAGCACTTGGAAGTAGAGAGTTTGAAAAGTTTCTTGGCAAGCTTGGCATTTGTAACCTGCATGCTCCAGCTTGAGGAGGGGTGTTAAGAAGATATATTCCATTTATTGGTGTATCTTTGCTATCTCTCAAATATGTTAATCTATATATCTTCTTCTTCTGTTTAGGAAACATTGTAAGAGTATATAATGAGGTCCTTGACCTACGATGAATAACAAGAAACCTTTTACACAAACAAGTTTCTTGACACATTCTTCTTCTGTCCTTTTGCTGTATTTCTTTGAATGAGGTTTTTAGGAGGCTAGGTGCTCCCCGGGTTTCATTAGTGACATGGACTGATCTAATGTCATGCCTGATGTCAAGTAGTATTCGTGCCTCTAAAACATTGAAGATGCTTGTGGGTCAAGTCGTTATATACAACATTTGGAGACAGAGGAACAATGTTGTTTTCAACCAGCCTCTCTTGCCTCTTCAAGTGCTATTCAAGGACATCAACAGGCAGGTGCTTAACACAATCCATGCGAGGAAGAAAAGGAAGAACTTCAAGAGATTCATGTCTAGATGGTTGATATGAATCTTTAAATTGCAGATTTTATTTGCTTATAAGAGTCGCTTGTGACTCAGACCAAAATAACCCTGTTTTTGTTTCTTTTTGCCAGGGTTTATTTCTGTTAGGTAGTATTTGAACAGAGATCTGTCATCCTCATTGTTACTAATGAAATTAAAATTCTTAGCAAAAAAAAAACTACCCAGAATCAAAAGAATGAGCTTACCAAATCAAGTTGGAAAATATCGAACTGAACCGAATAATATTGTAATGGTTTTATTTTCATATCTGAATATTTGAACCCAACCAGCTGATGGGTATTTGAATATATAAACACACAGTTTTTATTATCTAAAAGTATTAATTATATTTAAATAACCAAATCTGTATAAAATAATCTTGAACCAAATATTTGTATCAAAAGTATTTGAAAATACATCAATTTTGAATCATCTGATATTATTCAAAACTATCATCCTAGTTTGTTTAAAGAAAAATTTCCTAGAATAGACCTAAATTTTTTTTTTCACAAATATAGAATTTAAAAATAACAATGACTAAAATAAATGTAAATATTTTATCAAAATAAGTAAATTTACACTTATATCTTTTGGATTAACTAATTCTAGATTTTTTTTTGTTTAGAGCTTAAGAGTAGAATTTTGAAATATGATTTTAATTTTTTTTTTAAACTTAAAATTTTCATAATAAAAATACTATTTTAATCATTTTAATTTTTGAGATTTATTTTGATAAAACCTTAAAATATCTATTTGAGAAAATTACCTTTGCTTAATTTATTCAAAATAATTCAGATTAGCCGATATTTTATCAAACCAGATAAACGACATATGTATTACCTGAAAATGTCCAGAACCAAATCGAACCAGGATCGAATGGAACCCCAATTTTCTTTTGGGTGTTAATATGTTATTAATTTTATACCAAACCGATTTACACCAATTTTTTTGGGTTTTGAAAGGATCCTAAACAGCTTTATCCAAACTATTCAGATTTATGTGAAACGTAACCAAGAGTGAGGGATTTTTCAGATTTATGTGGAAAGTAGTACCATGCCCGTTTTGGCTTTATACCATTTTGATGACGAGTAAAGACATCTTATCTTTCTAAATCTAAGATCAACACAAGAATAGATAAAGTTTTCTAAATCTAGCTCAACTAGAGCTCGTATTCAAGTTCTTGAACCAGTCTCGAAGCAAGTTGAGTAGTCGAAAAGAAAAAGAGCCAAAACCTGATCCTAAGAGACTATATAAAGCCATGAGACATTGCTGAGATCAATAATTTGAAATGACGGACTTGCTGGTCAAAGCAACCAGAAGCAGCTTTTGCTCCTTGGACCAAGTTACGCAACAAGTTTTCATAACAAATACTACCTTATAACAAGATGATTTAACCATTAGAAGCAAATGAAGGGGATGAACCAGATCGTCTTTTCTGATTAAAATACATTCTTAGTTCCCTGATAAAGAATGAATCAAATATAAAATCTAATCAACTTGATTAAGACAAAAAACTAAAAGAAAGGATTTTACAAAACCTGTTCGTGGCACTAGCAAAACTTGCCCCTACGAGTTGATGGTCTTACCATTCTCTGAGAGAGATTTATGTACATCACTCTCTCCTAGTGTCTAATTCATTCACTTACGGTAATCTTCAAGTAGAAAGTTCTCATAATTTGTCCCTTTCAGTGTCGTCTGAACCTCATTCCAATTCTGTACGTGCTGTGACAAAGAACCGTGATGAATCTTCACTTGCCTACTCTTTAAATTGCGTTTAGGCACCTTTAGAAACTCTTGCACATCGTCTAGCCTCTGCAAAAGCGATAAAAAGATAGTGTCCTAGAAGAATATATTGAAACTAGCTAGGAGCCAAACCTAGTGAGATAAAATGTTTCTTACGGTGCGGTTCTTGACAACATCTTCATAGTAGAGGAAGATATGGCGAGTGGTATTGAAGTAAGAAAGTGCGTTTGTAGTCATCTCTTTAACCTTCTTCAAATCACCTATTAAAAGGGTTGTGTCGATTACTGGTTTGTAGAGCGCCAATATCTCAGCCTGAAAACCCATTTCTTTCACATGTTTAGTTTCACAGAAACAAATGTGCAGACATAATAGGGAGGAAGAGAGAGAAATAAACCTCTTTAGAGGAATGGGTGTGGGACTTGTGAGTGCCGTTTAATAACTTAGCATCCCTATCATAAGAGTTTGCCAGAACTGAAATCATCCGGCGCAAGAGGTTTCTTCTAAAGAGGAATATAGCTGAGACGCCTCTGGTTCTGAAGTATTCTACTATCTCTTCATGGTGTTTCATTAGACCCTGTAAATGTTTTTATCACCAAACACATTAAGAGAAAAAAAAACAGAAGAGAAAAATCACACAAAGACCATTGGAACTCGGCTCTTCTTTCAAGAAGATCAGAAATATCAGCAAATCAATCAAACACACATACATGTCAAGGAGATAAGTACAAACACAAACCAATCAAAACCAGAACCTTAACATTCCTTAAGATCAATTCCTTACAAAAAAAGTATCAGCTTAGAGTCAATCACAATGCAGTACTTTCCTAAAGCAAACAAGTCTCATTTTCAGGATTTAACAGAAACAATTGCAGCTTAGCTCTCTAGTCCAGTATCATATCATCTAGACATTGACAAAAGAACCACAGCGGAAACCATCTCATATCATCTAGACATTGACAAAAGAACCACAGCGGAACCATCTCATAGTTTAGGTTCTGTCCTAAGGATATTAAAAATATATACTTCCATCATCTAAAACTATACTAAAACAGTAAGTTAACATTTTATGTATAAAGCACAAAAAGAGTAGTAGCAACAGAAGTTAAACTTTTATTGCAATAAATGATTAAAACATTTACAGAAGTTACCTGATTAAGCATCCACTTCAAGCCAACGGCAGAAGTACAATCGTTCTTAGAAGCACTACTCAACCAATCTAGATTATATACTTTGTCCAAGGTCTCGAAAATGGTCGACACATTAGCCCTCCTATCTTTAACGGAAAAGATCTCCCCGTTGGAGCTTATATTAGTATGATTGTTTAGTAAAGTCTCAAACCAGCCGCTTCCAGATCTCTGCATCGAGAGAATCGCAAAATACCTAACGGGATTACACGAACATTCCTCCCTAACACACATTTCAGCACATACCGATTAGAACCAAGCGCCAAAGAAAGCTGACGAACACTCTCATTTACCTGCTATACGTGTTGGGCTTAGGATAATGAACATATGGAATGTCCCATGGTTCTATTTTAGGCTCAGGACAAGGTCTCTCAAACACTTCAACGGTCAAAAAGCCAGCACTTGGGACCACACCGATTTGCTTAAGACAAATTGAGCAAATGTAGACAGCACAGACCATCACAAACAAGAGAACGACCATTCTCAACACAAGTGGGGATTTTTTAGGGAGCTTGAAGACAAAACTATCCTGCAATAAAAAATACATTTACGAGCTTCTGTGAAGTGAGTTTATTTATTTATTTATTTTCTTGCTTTAGAAACAAAAGTCGAGCGCAAAAACAACATGGGGCATCACAAAATTCAAAATTACGCAGAACCCAGATGCCGAAAGATTCGATTTTTACAGAAACCCATATCGAATCATATGAAATTCCTCAAAATCAGCTACTTATTACTCCAGAAAAAAACCCTAATCAGATCTTAAACATAGGAAAACTTCAATACCCATAAATCAAAAAGGTACCTTGGGGCTGAGAGAGTTTTCGTCGCCCATGGCTGCTTCCGTTTAGAGAGAGAGAGAGAGAGAGAGAGAGAGGAGTGGAAAGAGTAAGAAATTTAAAAAGGAAGAGAAGAGAAAGGCAATGAATTATTCAGACACACCTTCCAGCTAAAGAATAAACACAATAATGTAAAATCGGAAACACAAAGTGGCTTTTCTCTGGTTTGTTTGTGAAAAGAAATAATTTTTCTAAGGAAAACGAAGAAAAACAGAGAAAACTTTTGATCTGAAGACAACAATGATTAGAGAGGCCCAAGAAACGTTGTTTGTGGAGCTTTTCTCTCTGTTTCCATTGGTTGCTTTGAATTTACGGAGATGTTATGGCACTTGCACGGAAGAAAATAAAAACTTTGAAGACCCCCCAGACAAATATTGAAAGCGCAAAGGTCGAGAAGAAAGTCTCTTGAACACAAGCGACATCGTTTCAACCTTTCCGACATGAACACTATGGCCATCTTCCAATTTTATATTATCTTATATGTTTCATTTAAGAAACAATAAACTAGATTATAATATCAGTACAAGTAACGTGTGACCCATTCCATTTTTTAAGTTTTTTGGTTAGTGGAATCTCGGATTCTTGAGCTAAAAGTTTGACTTTATCTACCTTATCAGCTTTCTCTTCGTTTAGTTGAGGTTTTTGTTTTGCAGTTCTCGTTTATAACTCCACAAACGACACACTTTTTTTTTTGGCAATCTCATGTTATATTGATTCTCTTGAATTCTCTTTATTTGTATTTACGAAGTTTTACAAACAAGTGGAAAATCGAATGTTGAAGTAGAGTCCAAAGAGAGCAACACCTATTGTTTAGTGTTAAGATAACGGTAATTAACCAAAATAGCACTTCTGAAGTTTTTGTCTTAAAAATAGCACCGCGAAGAGAAAGTCACAGAAATAACATTCATTAAAAGGTAAAATATACCTCCTGCCCTTGTGTTATAATTCATAAAATAAGTAAAAAAACAAAACACATCGCGTTTCACTTCTCTTTTTCGCGAAACCTCATACATTCACCGGCGAATCGTCACCTCCATCATCTCCGGCGAAGAAAACTGACTTCATTTCCGACGAAGCAGACGAAGATTCGAGGTCTATCGAATTGTGTTCCTCCTCTCTCGAACCATGTTCCTCTTCTCTCGAATTGTGTTCCTCCTCTCTCGACACCGGGGTCTCCATTGAGACACCGCCGGAGAAAATCGCACTAAACCACCACCGTCACACTCTTTACTCTCAAAATCGGAAACAAATCCCGTTGGAAGCAAATCACGATGTAAGTTTTTGAAATTAGGATTTTTGATTTAAAATTTGGGGATTTTAAAATTAGGGCATTTGATTTTGATTTCTACTATACATATTCATTTGTTGTTTGTTCAACTTTATTGAAATGTTGAATTTGGTTTGTTTAGCTTAGCTTTCCTAATCAAAAAATTAGGTACTCTTTGTAACTGAGAATAACTATTAACCTGAGAAGCTTGCGTTTGTTTTACAGAGAAGCAAATGTCTTTGGAAGTTCCTGGAACTCAAATCAAAGGCTTTTAAAAAATTGTGGGAACACAAAGTTGTTGGAGCTCAAATATTCTCCTGACGGAAACCATTTCCAGAGCTCTATCTCTTTGAGGTATTTTCTGTTTCTCACTTTAGGAAGGGTTTGTATTGTTTTAGGAAAGCCTTCCTGAATTTTGGATTTTGACAATTGTAGAAAATAAAAGTTTGTCTTTTGGTGCTTGTGCTTGTGCTTGTGATGCATTTTTACATATTAATTTGTTCTGTGTTTGCATCTATTGAATGTGTTTAGCAAAATGTTGCTTATGTCATTGTTAATCTGTTGTTGCTGGTGCTTGTGAAACTGTCTGTGTTTATAAAGTTTTTAGGAACCGTTTGTGTATTTTCAGGAAGGCCTTCCAGAAACTCAATTTTTTTTTGCTTTTTGCTTGGTGTCTTGTTCTGCTTAGGCATGTTGATATCGTTGATAGGCACTTGAAATTGCTTATTAATCTCTTGTTGCTCGTGCTTGTGAAACTGTCTAGTGTTCATAAAATTTTCAGATTGTGTATTTTCACTTCTTGTTGCTTTTTAATATGGGTCTGAGGTATTAATAGAGTTTCATTGACAATGCATAAGATTGTGAACACATGAGTTGACTGTGAAATCAAATTGAGTTGATTGCTTGATTTCTCCTTCCTGTGAAAGTATGTGTGTGTTTCTTTTTCTCACTTCACGAAGGATTTGTATAGTTTCCAAAAGCATTTGTATAGTTTCCAAAACCATCAAGACAGTGATGAAACACGAAACCTGCTTACATGTTCATTTGTTTTTTGTTTGCATCTATTGAATCTGTTTAGGGAATGTTGCTTATGACATTTTTAATCTCTTGTTTCTCGTGCTTGTGAAACTCTCTAGTGTTTCTAAGAAATTCTGGAAGCATTTGTACAGTTTCAGTAAAGCCCTCCAGAAACTCAGAAATTTTGAAACTTTTTTTGCTTGGTGTCTTATTCTGTTTAGGCATGTTGATATCTTTGATAGGCTCTTGAATTTTATTATTAGTCTCTTGTTGCTCGTGCTTGTGAAACTCTCTAGTGTTTATAAAATATTCAGGAAGCATTTGTACCACTACAAGAAATATAGGTATTGGTAGCATTTCACGGTAGCGCGGATTCATGAAATGCTACTAAAAGATGTCCCGAATTTATGCTAGCGTTTAAACGCTGGTGAAAAATTTCATTAACCCGGGAAAGAAAATTAATAAAAAATACATTAATAACGGTAAAGTGTAAAGGACTTGGTTTATTTTTGGTCTTTTCCTCATCTCCTTCTCATCGAAACCTCGAGCTTTCCGACAGTTCGAAAAGTTGGAAGCCTCGATCTCTCCGAAATTTAACGACGCTCTTCCTGCCGGAGCTGTTGTCATCGCCGGCGGTCAGATTGCAGGCGAAACCCATATTCGATTTTGTATGTATTAACCCTAGATTCATTTATTCAATTTATCTAATTTCTCGGAATTATTTCTTTGATTGCTTTCAGGTGTTACAATTTCGATTTCTTTGAGGTCACGAAGATTAGGAGGAGACAAGTCACGTTAGAGATAATGAAATCTGTTTCGGATTGATATCGTGAGGACTGAAGTGTGTTTTTTTGGGGCTTATACGATTTGATTTGTGGTTCTTGTTTGTTCTCTTTTGATTTGCAGGTTTGAGCTTCTGTTTGTTCATTTCTGGAGAGAAGTCGAGTTGAAATCTGAACGATCTTATTGAGGTGATTCCTTTTCGACCATTTTTATATTGTGTGTCGATTGTGTGAGTTTTAGTATATGATTGTTTGACGATTGAGTAGTTGATTGTTTGTTGCTCTTAAAAAATGAGTACTTGATTATTTATTGGTTATTATGTGAATGAAAATGTGTGTGTTTCGTGTTTGACATACTCTTATGGGTTTGTTTTATTTTGTGTGTTATCGGTTAGAAACTAAGAACATAAAAATGGTCGAAAATTCATGGGTTCATCTAAACAGGTAAGGAAAAACAAAATATATTGTGGCTACTGTTTGTTTTTTTCTGATTAAAAGAGTTTAAATTATGCTTGCATGTGTGTTTACCGAAGAGCTGATCCTCGTTATGAGAGATGTGCGTGGGAGTTTGTTAGGTGTGTTGGTGCATATTTAGCAGAGTGTGAGTTGATCATCTGCCCATGCATAGACTGTCGCAATGTAGATCGTCACTCAGCCGATGTTGTTGTTGATCATCTAGTAACTAGGGGAATGAATTTGAGTTACAACCTGCGGGAGGATTGGTATCATCATGGAGAAGTAATATCAGGGCCTGACTGCAGAAGCAATGCAAGTGAGAGGAACAATGAGATTTTAGCGTTATACCAAGCAGCTGAGTTTCTGGATGAAGATTTTATTAGGCAGGGTGATCAGAGTGAGGTTGCTGAAGGTGAAGATAAGGAAGAAGATGAGTTTCTTGCTAAGATAGCAGATGCAGAGACACCTTTGTATCCAATTTGTGCTAATCACAGAAAGCTGTCGGCGATAGTTTCACTGTTTAGGATAAAGACACAGAGTGGTTGGTCTGATAGAAGCTTCGATCTTTTGCTAGGGACTTTACCACAGATGCTACCAGAGGAGAATGTCTTGCACACATCCTTGTATGAAGTGAAAAGGTTTCTGAAATCTTTTGACATGGGATATGAGAAGATTTGGTTAAGACTACCGAAGACCCATCAAAAGTGTCAAGGCTAAGAGTGTGGGTAAAATCACAAACTAAGAAGGATGGAATGCCTGTCAATGTGAATGCGGCTGAAAAGATAGTAAGTCAAAATTTGTCTTATGAAGTTGGATTGTCTGATGCTTGTTGATTAATAATTTGTCATCCGTTTCAGAGAAGGGCGTCAGAGATAGAACTTGAGGGTCGTGAAGATTCAAGCTCAACGAATCCAAAGCATGATCTGATTACTGAGATATTGGGACCTGATCAACCTGGCAGGTTGAGAGCAATGGGCAGAGGCATTAGTATCACCAAATTAAAACTGTTTACAAATTAAGAACAACTTCATGGCTGCCATGGAAAAAACATGTCTCTCTGGAGAAACAGGTTAATGATCTGCAGCAGCAAATTGCCAGGATGAATAATCATGAACAAGAAACTGATGTCAGTGAAAACTCGAATAACAAGGTATGGACTCACTTCCTCTGTCATAGTCTATCTCTATAACTGTAGAAATGAATTGATATGGAACTTTTGTATTTCACGCAGTGTAAATACCAAGTTACTCTAGAAGTGTTATCTTGTGGACTGGTCTGCTGTCGATGTCAATGTTGCTGTGGGACGGGTTGTTTCAACGGAACCTGAGGAGTTAGTTAATGGGATTCCGTTAGGGCCTAATGCTGTGAAGGTTTTAGTTGAAACTGCAACAAAACCAGAAACCTTTTTATGGAGACCTACACCTAATATGTTCACAATGGAAGATGCAGTAGGAGGAATGATTGCATGGCATTCAGATCATTGTATTGTTCCAACGGCAGGTTTACCAGAGGACAATGCGCTTAAGGTTAATTTTCCTCTTCCTCTGTAGCTGAAATTGAGTCTCAGTCTGAGTCTTTCTTTATTGAAACTTGTTTGTTTTGTTTTGCAGAGCCCTTTCATTAGTTCAAATAAGAAATGCCAACTCATGGACTACATACATAATGGGGAAGTCGTTGCTGTAGGACGATGGCAGACGAAAGAACCACAAAAGATGGTCAATGGACAGAAGAAGGAAAACTTTCTGTTGATTCTCTGTTCTCAGTTTGATTTTTGGATTCCGAGGATGTGCCGGACGACGAAGCCGAGGAACGCCACTTCCTCTTCGTCCAAACGCAATAAAAGTGTATGTGGATGAGGTAGTAAAACCTGATGCATACATATGGCGGCCTACTGTGGGGAAGACAACTATAGAGGATTATCAAAACTGTTTTGTAGCATGGCCAGCAAATAGAGTTGTGTTTGACTCAGATAGTGCTAAAGCAGGAAGTTCAAAGGCAGTAATTCAACTTCTAAAACTCAAAAGTCCCCACTGAGTGCGAAACCTGGAACCAGTGTCAGAGATCAGTCTACAAATGAAGAGGATTCTCCATTGACTCCACCAGCTCCCACAAAGATACCTGCAGCGACCAAGAAAGTCCAGTCACCTGTAATTCCAGCATCTCCTCTTCGCAGATCAGAGGTACTTTCTTTGTTTGAACTGCTTTGTGGTTTGTGGTTGCACTGCTTGATTGGTTCTGGTTGTGATTTCTGAATATTGGTTATGCTGTTTGGTTTGTGGTTGCAGCATAAAAAATTCAAACCTAATCAAAAAATCAAGCTGCTGGACCTATCCGGAAATAAGGTGGTCGTTGCTGAAGGACGATGGTCATCGAGTGATCCTCAGCATCTTGTCCACTTTCAGCCTTTGGGGCCTGGTGCATGTCGAGTCTTTGTGGATGTTGTGAAGGTTAATGATGATGCTGTGTGGAAGACATCATCAGATATCGAGTATATGGTTGATGCACTTGGAAGCTGTCTTGCTTGGCCAGAGGATAAAGTTCTACCGGTGAGATATGATCTCCTTTATCTCTAACATAAGTGTTGAAATATGTCAAACTAATCAGATTTGTCTTTCTGTGAAGGTTTAGAAACAACCCAAAGGAACCAAGTAATAAGA